CCAGTTTCTTCCTTTGTGAATAACTGTTTCTTAATATGGGTGGGACATGGTGTGTGTTTAAATGGGCATACAGAATTTCTTTCAAGATTGAGTGTTAGGATTATATTACTCTGCAGTTTGGTTAACATTTAGTTATAGCAGGCTTTTCAGGCACAACTATTAACCTTGGAAGAAACTGTTATAACCTGTAAGGACAAACTGTCCTTTGGATAGTGAAATCCTTAATGCTTTGATAAGTTCCAGTGCTGTAAAAAGATTAAAGCAGTTCTTTGTGAACAATTAAGTAGCTCTCTGTCATTCTAGGTATGGAGAAAAGCAGGTCTCCAGTGTTACTACCAGAGGTTCTCCATCAAACTCACCTGTATACAGCCAGAAGATGGCCTAAAGACTTTTAAAACTGAATTGTGGCATGCACACACAATATTATTTATTGCATCTTATTCTAATAAGAGATAAGCAGCAATACTTCATCTCCTTTACTGCCTTGGTGTAGGCTTGAATTTGAGCTCTTACCTGTGCTTTTAGTCTTCTTTTGATTTCTGTTGGTTCTCCAGGTATCATCTCCCAGTGTTGAATTTGCAATAGATTTAAGTGCCGTTGGTTTTGCTGTTCAGGGAATAGTAATTTTGAGAAATTTTGCTTACCATTACTGTATACTAAAACTCATGCAAAATGGAGAACAGAATTTATTTGGTAGAAGAGAATATATGTAGCTCAGGGTTAAACTGTTGGTTTCTTGGGAAGAAACAATATCTTAAACAAGGAATCAACAGGAAGGAAGCCACACCTCACCAAGACCGGCAGGGCAGGCAAACCTTACTCTTGCTCACACTGAAGTTGTTATCTAGCCCAGTAATGAAATGTCTGCAAGAAAATAACCAAGCTCAGAGAGCAAGAAGAACCCAGCAAGAATTTATTCAGTGTTATTTAATAGTATGTTTATTCCCCTCCCCTCTGAACAATCCCAGCAATGGAAGTGGTTGGCTGTTTTCTTTCAGGATGTAGTCTATAGCCTTGAGATTTCCTGGTAAGGATCAGTAGTCTGATCCAGCTTTGCTTTTTGAGATCAGCAGAGATTTGGCTAGGTGCTGCTAACAAACATGTAGATATTTGCTGGATTTATTTATTTATTTGCTGGATTTATATTTGTAATGAGTATTAACATTAATTCAGAGTAACCAGTTTATCTTATACCTGCATGAAATTGGAAGCATGGGGAAAATCTACAGAAGCAAATGCCCAGTATATTATATCCAGTGCTCCAAATCTGTGTGACTGTTCTGGACTGTAGTCCTGAAACTGTTATGAGGAAAAGCTGTATAAAGTAATTAGCATTTTAGATTAATTGTATAAGAATAAATGGAATTATGATTATAATTCCCAGGAAGCAAATATATGTTGATATAAGCACTGATGATGTTACCTAGATGGGTAATGAAATGTCTGCAAGCAAACAACCAAGCTCAGAGAGCACCATGAACTTCACAAAGCAGATATATATTTGTAAAGTCATTAGGCAGTTAACCACCCCCAGTTCAATTAATTTTTGTGGCTACTGAGAGGTTATTTCTGCCATGATGAGATTGTTCTGTTGTCAAATTATTATAAGCTCTACTGTTCTACAAATAATATTGTTTGTCTGTTCATTAACTTTTTTATCTTACCATTTTTAAAGTGAGGTTGATTACTGAGTCTATTTAACTTACATCTCATTTCTGTTGTAGTTTGTAGAATAGAATAGAATTAGAAGTTATATTTATAGAGTTATGCAGAGCTTTGGATTCAAAGGCAAAAAGGTGCCTCAACATTTGCATGGGTGTTCATGTAATTTAAAAAATTCTTTATGGGATTGAGTGATTTACCTTTGTTGCTATAGAATGATCCCAGGAAAAGGTGCATTTGGTTTAAAGAGCTCCTTACACATGCTGAATGAGCACCCATGTGTGCTCTGTTGCATATTTTCCCCTTCAACTCTGAAGTGCTGCATAGCCCTACTAATATCTTTGAGATACACACAGAGTTTTATAAAACATTTTACAGGTAATCTTTGCTCACCACTCGTTCAGCAACCGTTCGAACTTACAGTGGTGCTGAATGAATGGTAGTTACAACCAGTCCAGTTGCAACATCCCTGCAGTCACATGATGGTAATCCAGGTGCTCGGTGCCTGGCTTGCAGTTATGACATTGCAGCTTCTCATGGTCACATGATCACCATTTGCAACCTTCTTTGCCAGCTTCCTACAAGTAAGTCAGTGGAGAAGCCAGCAGGAGATCGCATATGGTGACTATGTGATGTCCTTGCTTAATGACCCGTGGTGATTCACTTAATGACACCAACCAGAAGTGCTGGAGCTTCTGTCACTGAGCAGCCCGATCATGTGATGTTGGGCTTTATGGCTAGGTTACTTAGTGATAGAAGTTCTGGTTCCAATTATTGTTGTTAAGTGAGGACTGCCTATAAAAAAAAGGGAAAATCCAATTAAATTGGGAAATCCAATTTAAATAAAAATGTTTTTTATTCATTCTGTTTAAAGCACTTAATAACTCTGGGCTATGCCTTCTATGAATCAGAATAGATGTCCTGACTTGAGAGTAGGTCCCTGGAATTTGCTTATTTAGATTTCTGTCAAAGGATAAGATGTTAGAAACAAAAGAGAGGTACTGTTTTGTAGTTCTGAGGCTGTTGTGCTGGCATATGCTTTGTTACCATACACAGAGATGATAGAACTTTTTTATGTTAGAGCTTTAAGTTGGTTATTTCAGAGAGTCACATGTATGTGTTTGTTGGCAAGGATATACAGTATACAGTTTGAATATTTCCCAGAGGAATTTCATCAAATCTAATCAATTGAGGAATATAGTAAACTCTCCTTATTTCAGTTATTTATGAAGACACAATAA